GATACTCCTCAAGGGCAGCCCCATGTAGAGAGCATAAGTGATTGTGAGCAGAGCCCCCCCCCCATCTAGGAATGGTGCAACTGGCACACGACATGAAGCTGTGCAAAGACCCTCCTAGCTATGTGACTGCCACCTGCTCCTCAAGCAGGAGTCATGAATCTAGGAGGATCCCCAGATTGCAAATGGGTCTGTCTGGGGCAGTGCAACCCCATCCAGCACTGAAGATGGTACAGTCCTAGAACCCAAAACCCAAAGCCACTCTGTCTTGCCAGGGTTCAGCTGAAGCCTGTTGTTCTCCATCCAGACCTTCACAGCCTCCACGCACTGGGATAAGACATTCACGGCATTGCTTAATTCACCAGGGGCAGAGATACATAACGAGAACGGATGAGCTCACCCAATGGCTTCATGTAGATGTTGAATAGGAGAGGAGAGAGCACCAAACCCTGCAGCACCCCACATAGTAGGGGCCAGGGGTGGGATCTCTCCTCCCCAATCACCACTGAGTGGAATTGACCCCAGAGAAAGGAGGCAAACGAGCACAACACTGTGCTGTCCACCCCCAATCCTCTGAGCTGATCCAGGATAACGTGGTTGATGGTATCGAAAGCCACAGAGAGGTCACGTAGGGCAAGGATAGATGCACAACTTCCACTCTACCATCACCAGAGGTCATTGAAAAGTGCAACCAATGCCGTTTCTGTCCCATATCCAGGCCTGAACCCTGGCTGAAAGGGATCCAGGTAATGTTGGAATAAACCTAGCTATATATTAGGAAGTAGAAGATAGAAAAGTGCAATCCAGTCAGCCAGGACACTTTCTGAGGCAGAGTATGGAGCCAGTCATGATTACTAGATCAGAATATATGGATTAAACAACAACAACAACAAAAAACTCAAAGAGAAGTTATCTTGTCAGAATAGAAGATCAACCTAAGGAACAAATTCAGTATGCTTATGTGTAAGAAAATCTGATGAACTATGGGAAGAAATAAGAGACATTGGGAAACCTGAGATTTCTTCTAGAGACAAGGATACACATTGTCCCCCATATCTATCTATAGTAAGTATTGTATGTTGTTATATTGTAGGAATGGAAGTTGCTGGAGGAAGACGGTCATGGTTCTGGGGACAAAAATAGTTCAGGACTCAGGTGAAGCTCTTTGTGAGGCAGGTTGCCCAGGTAGCCTGTGGAACAAGTACCTTCAAGGATGCCCTTGATCCTTCAGGGATTCCACTGGCATATTTTCCTGAGATAATCCCACAAGCAAGTGGAGACCAAGTCATTGCTCCAACTCCTACAGAACAATCAATGAGACAAGACCGCAGTAACATTACAGATTATATAAATTAATACAAACCATTTTAAAACCCCAAACAATAAAAGTTCAGAAACCATTTATCTAAGAAAAGCTACATAGTTTGGAGGCTTAGAAAATGTCCAGTCAGGAAAAAGATTAGAGATTTTTCAAAATAATGCATTCTATATGAAAAATGAATACGATTTTATCCTACAGGTAGTCCTTGCTTAACAGCTGTTCGAAGTTATGATGGTGCTAAAAAAGTTACGACCAGTGCCCAAAGTTATGACCATTGCTGTGCCCCTGCAGTCATGTGATTGCGATCCAGGCAGTTGGCAATCAGGTCACACTAGTGACAGTTGCAGCATCCCGGTAAGCAAAATCAATGGGGAACTGCATGATTCACTTAACAACCATGGTGATTTGCTTAACAACTGCTGCAAAAAAGGTGGTAAAATCAGAACTGGTCATGTGATGATTGGTTAAAGACCGCATCACTTAGCAATCTAAATTCTGGACCCAATTGTGGTCATTAAGTGAGGACTACCCGTATGTTATGCAAGCACCAGTTCCATGTGGGAATCTCAGAGACCAGAATAAAGCAGTTGTGCAATTTAGTGCCTATTTTCTTGAAGATGAGCCCCAGTCTTTTCACAGAGGCGTACTTCTTTGAAAGCAGATTTAGGATTACAACCTCAGACCCTTTGGGATGAGAAAACGAAGATCCGTAGTTTTGAAATAGGTCAGAAAAAAAGCTGCTGCCATAGCAGAGTAGCCCTGCTGCCAATTCCTTCCTTGCATAGGGATAATTCCTCCAGGCATGAAATCTACTGTACCTGTGATAATGATTAAACAGCAGGGGATGGGCACTGTCTCTGAGTATATGCGTTCGGCATGAAAAGGATTCATTTCTCATTCCGTTACGAAAGACGCCGCCTTGGAACATTACCTATCTTGTGGTATAATTCCGGCAACTGAACCTCTACTTTCTCTCTTTGGAATATGTGGTATTCTGCCTGTTCACAAACCGGCGGGATCATATTAAACTGTCTTGCTACCGAATACGCTTCCTGTTGAGAATCAATCACAAAAGAAAAATACATTAGCAGGGAGAATTCTTCAGCCATAAAATCATACGTCAGTCAAACCCACTCTTCCTCCTTCCCCGTTCAAGTGTCCTTATTAAGGACCTGACACTTGGTCTACTTGGTGAATAGATTAAAAATATTTTGACCAGTGAAAAAGGCACCACTCTGACTTATAAATTAAAGAAAAAAAAAAGTATACAAAAAACTGCAGAATGCATTCTCTTGTGGATGACAAAACATCATTTGTAAACACTCATGTGCAGTAAGGCCCATTATGTAAACAATTATATCCGGTAGCGGCCGTGAATGCACTATGGCAATGTACAAATTGAAATGATGATTAGAAAGCTACATTTTGAAAAGCAAGTGTGGCTTCAGTTGCTGGCTAACAGCATATGAAACAGCTCTTGAATTATAAAGCGGTTACAGGAACATACAAATCAATGTATGTTGGGAAAAGGTATCTAAGAATGCACAGTGAAGATGGAGGTCTATGTCAAGTTGATCATCCATCTCACTGATGCATTGTTAATCCCTCTAAGCAGTGCCCTGCTTGTCATTCTTCTTTGGGGGACAAAGGAGGAATTGTAGAGAGAGTTAATATTGGGGTCAATTCCAGTGTTTCTACAATTTATTCAGAAGTGATAACCTAGGAGATGCAGGTATTAATCTCTCAGTATTATAATGTTTTCCCACAAAGAAAATACAGGAGGAAAATGCTTGATGACAGCATCATGTACATGGCCCACAAAAGTGAGAGCATAAAAGCACAGCTATTTCACGCCAGGTTTCTAAGTGGAGCTATTCTTGATGTTTGATTAAACATGAATTAGGTGATTAAGCATTATTGCTCATTCTTGAAAAGCTAGTTTACCATGATCTCCATGGCACTCCAGCGGGAAGTCCCCCAATACATTGTCATCCCCTGGTCAATCACGTGTGTCATTGCTCGGACGATCTCTAAATCAGAAAACAAAAGCAGAATTATGCAACAGTTGCTAATAGATAACAGTCTACTTCAGAGGCCAATATTTTCAACTTATGCAAGAGAAATGGAGTGTATACTGGTGCTGGCACTGCCTTCTTCCATTGCTAGCATCCTTCACGTTGATGCAGAAAATCTGTAAAGAAATTCTAACTGCATTCAGCTGAGCTGGGTTACAGTGCTGTACACAATCACAAATCCTGATCACAAAACATTTCCAGAAGCCTTTTAGATTTTCTGCAGGCCTTGCCCATGAATGTAGGGAAGCTGGGGATAGAGCGATAAGCAGGATTAGAGCCCTGGCTTTGTTCTTCCTCTCTCTTGATTTGTCTAACCTGAGGAGCAATAAATGTAACAAGATACACATTACAGTGGTGCAGAACATTCAAGACATGTTGGTCTGAAGGAAGCACCTCTCCTCAAAGATGGGAAACAGACACACCCCTCTAAAACTTTCCGAGGTCATCCTACATTTATGGGCATGAAAGGCTGCTTTGCATTACTGACAGTGTACGCAAAAATGCTATCTATGCACGCACACGCAGACACAGACAACCCAAGAAAACGCTTTGCAGTATTTATGCCGAAGAGCTTTGTATTGCATTGTCTTGTACATACATAGAGATTCATGTCCCTGTTATGTAGTTTACTGTTCTAAATGAATATAACTAATAGGTATCTTATATACAAGATATTACATAAGAATTGTTTTAAAAGATTTTTCAGACGTTCCCTATCAATACATCCACATTCAACTTGGCCAGTAGCCATCCTTAATGAAATCCACCCTTACTGGGAAGAAAGGAAAAGCTGCTAGCATAAAGCTTAGTCTTTCCTCATTTTTGTGCTGTTTCCCAAGAGTTCTGTGTTATAAAAAATAGTGAGAGAGGAATATGTATATCATGACCTCAGGAGAAGAAAAATCTGGCAGATGAAGAGGGGGTAACATTTAGACTGTTTCTGTTCTGCAGCCTTTCTGAAATCATCTAGGCATGCATATGGATACACAGAAGAGTGTGCCACTTCACCAATTATCTCCATGGAAGTGTCTTCTGGGCTTTCATATGCATGCATGCCCCAAAGACCTCAGGAAGGCCCTGAAGAAGTCACACTGCACCAGCTTGGTATCTTCAAAGAGCAGCTACTGAGGAGTGCTTCATTTTTGATCTGCCCAGCCAAAATGTAGAACATAATTGTTTGAAGGGACTTTAGAGATCACCTAGCCCAACCAGGGATTCTTGCTGGAACCACAGTTCCTGCACACCTGGAACTCTACTATTGTGCACTCTTGACATACTTCCATGACTGGCTGCCATCCAGCACTGTGTGAATGAAAATGAACAGTGATGCAGTTAGGTCAAGTTTAGGCGCCTGACTTTATGGTTTTACAGGGGAGGGGAGCAGACCTTTAGATAGATATTAGTATTAATTCAGCAATGAACTACATCACTAGCTTTTTCTTCACTCTTTTTTTTAAATTCTCCACTTTTATTTCTGAAGCTCCCTGCAAAATAGTTTGAGCATATGCTATTGCACATTTTCATCTCTTAGCCTCCACTCCAGTTATAGGAATAGTAAAAAATTCCTTCTGCTGCTACAATGCTAGACAATTTGCTTTGCAATAAGGTTATTTTTTAAAACTAAAACTAATACAATGAATACATCTGAAATCGCACATATACTGATTAGTGCCCTACAATTATTTAATGTAAGAAAGGAGAAAAAAGAGAACGTGTTGTGGTGAGTAACATCAGCCCTAATGATACCCGGCATGTCAGTAAAAGCCACTGCTGATGAGGAAGTCTATTTGATATTATCCTTATAACTAGCTGTACTCTGAATGGTCATTCGGGAGAAATCTCGTGAGCAACTGGAGCTGGACTTTCAATCTGATATTTAACTGTACCACTGGAGTTGACATTTAAGCAACCTCTAAAACTAGAGTGGGTCACCATCAGACAACAGATGGGCCATAGTCAGCAACACAGCAGTTCAACACCCCTAGATAGGCCCTTTGAGGTAAGCCACATCAGGAAAGACACCATTAGGATAACTGGAACTCTACTATTGTAGGGTATAATAACCAAATTTTGAAAGCCTGACAAAGATTCTCCACCTCATCCTCCATGCTAAAGAGAATCAAGTCAGGGCAATCTTAAGTTTCTTTCTCATTGCCTCCTCCCTTCCTGGGTTAAGCTGGTGTTTACATACCAACCACTGAAGACTTCCTTCAAGTCTATCTCTGTACTTCTCTACACTATTAAAGAAATTAAATGAAACTTTAAATAGCAAAACACCTTATGAGGTTGGAACTCTCACGAACGTCTCCAAAGAATGCCACAAACATTGTTCTCATGTGAATTTATTTATTAAATTTATATGCCGCCCATCTCCCCCAGAGGATGACTCTGGGTGGCTCATGACATCTCATGTAGTTATACTGAAATCTTACAAAATTTGGCCATTTCATGAGATTTCAGTCAGAGATTGTTTTAAAAAAAATTAACATTTGGTAAGAAGCACTTCAAAAGATAATTGACTCCTGAAGCAGAGAGTGCACTTATCTTTCGGTCACTCTTTCTAGATGCTTACTTTTATAAAGTGAAAAGAAAATGAAAGATGATATTTTGGCTTCCAAAGACTAAAACGATGGACAACTTTTATCTTCATATACCTCCTCAAAGCTTGGCAATCGATTCTGGAAGTCACAAAGAGACTGAATCTCACAGCTGTGTCAGCAGATAGGGCAGGGGGATCAAAATTGGCAAGATGTGGTGTTACAACTGCAAGCCCCACCCTTTTGAATGTGTGTGTAACACTGATACACATACAAAAGGGGAAGGGCTTGCATCATGATGCTACATCTTCCATCTTGCCATGGACACAACTTATAAGGATGGATGATGGTCAACAGTTATTGTAACAATTATTATTTTCACTTATTTTGTGGGAGTAAAAGAGACTAGGGTAATTTAGATACACTTGAAAAGGATTAACATCCTATTTTGTTAGTTGAATAATTCCTATTAAGTAAAAAAATAATAAAATAAAATAAAAGTGTGGCAACACTACTCATGTGGTAAAACTATTAAAGTTTCATAACACAAGAGGGCAGCATTGTAGAAAAAGTTAAATGGGATTTCTAGGTGCATAGCATTAATTCCTCAAGTACAAGGCAACTAACTGAATTGAGGACAAGGTATACAAAGACCACATAGTGGTGTGTTTGTACAGATCCTGTTTATTTGGATAAGCAAAAAAGCATGAATGAATTTCAGTGGGTCAGCTGACAGAATCATAGAGCTGAAAAGGGCCATTCAAGCCATCAAATCCAACCCCAGTGCTCAGCATGGAAATCCCAATTAAGCACCAGTAAGAGATTGTTATGTAACTTTTGTCTGTTCCTTATCCAGTGAAAGGGACCCACCCCTCTTTGCATCACTGGATCCACTGTAAGACTGCTCTCACTGTTGAGAAATCTTTTTTTCTGACATTCATTTGGAATCTGCCTTGATTCCATGTTTCATGGCCAGTACTCTGGAACACTGATCTTCTCTTTTGGGAGCTAACATGCCCTACTCCTTCGATCCCTTTCTATAGAACTTAGTCCCCTTGTTAGAATCCCATTGTCCCTTCTGCACTTTGAGCTTCTTCTATTTTTTTCACTGTTTCTACTTATAAGCTTCTGGAACGGCCACCAGCTATGTATCTAGAGACTCGTAGACCTGTTATTTTGGTGGTTTTCTCATTTGGTTTCAGGGTCTGCTAGTTATCTTTAAGAACTCATGCTGCTGACTGGTATTTTCACTTTCCCATTTTTTTGTCCCATCAGGATATCAGTTTTCTCCTGTCCTATTTCAAACATGCCTATTTTTGTCCCATATTTTAGCTACTTGCGCCAGTTTTTCTTTAACTCCTTTGTTGCACTTGGCCAATGAATCATCCTAGCTGACATTTGCTGTTTTAAGATGTATACTCTTGGAATATTGGGGGGTGGGGGCTACTATTTTGCCATTCTGTGAGTATGCAACCTCTGCAAAATATTTTTAGATAGTCTACAATCCCTTTTTGGTCAAGGTTGTTAAAAAGGTGGTCTGACTTCAGCTGCCTTACTGGAAACATATTAACTGGGCCCTCTTCAGCCACAGTTCAGGCCCAGGAATGAAAGTAAGATAACATGGATTGTTCTGGCATGCTCTTCTTGGTCCTGTTTGACTTCTTGATACCATGGTATCCCTCTGGATTGCCTAGAAGATTTGGGGATTGAATACATGGCTTTACAGTGGTCCTACTCTTTCCTTAAATGGCAGGTCCCGTCAGTGGTACTGGGGAAGGAGGGGTTGGCCTTCTGGATACAAGCATCAATTCTCTCACCCCTGGTTTTTAACACTGTCAGCCCCACTAGGTAGGTCAGACCAGAAAATCAACTCCACAAGGAGACCAGAACTATACTTTACTGAGATAAGCTACAGTAACAGAGTCTTGCAAGTCTGATTGTGCTGTACCTCCTCTCCATCTTATACTTCACTGTATTAGGGAGGTATTTCCCTGAGCTGCTTCCAAATATTATCTTGTTTCCCAGGACTTAAAGAACGCTTCTTCCCCTTTTGTTTAGGTAATGGTTCTTGCATATTTCTGTCTTACTCTTTACAAACATCTATATGAAGTCACTGGAAGGGTTCATCCATCTGTTTGGGTGAGGTATCATCAGTGTGCTGATAAAACCAAATTATAAAAAGCCTAAGCCAGATATATTGTTGAGGCACTGACTCAGTGCCTAGAAACTATGAGGGTCTGTATGTGGTGAAACAAGCTGAGTTTAAACCCAAACAAAATAGAGTTGCTCTTTGTCCAGAGATCATTCTGGATGAGGAGGCACTTATCCTGAAGAAACAGGTCCACAACTTGAGTATTCGCTTGAATTCAGAGCTACTGCTAAATGATCAGATGGAGGCTATTGCTGGAGAGACTGCCC